TCCCTGACTTCTAGGCCAATGTATTTTCCATTATTCCACTGCCCATCTGTAGCAGACCTTACTTCTCCTTACAGCTGAGGAATTCAGAAAGCCACAGAGCCCCAGATCTGAACTCTCTTCTCCCAACCCTTGCCATCTCCTAGAGTGACCATGCTAATTAATTCATGCATTTATTCATCTAGTCTTTACGGACCCCCTGCCAGGTTCTAGGCACTGGGTACACGGGATATGGTGAAGAAGCAAATAGGTCTCCCAGCGGGTTGGGGGAAAGGCTTTAACAAATGAGTGAATATATGATATAAATCATGGTAACTGCAGTAAAAGGAAGATAAAGAGTATCATGTGAGTGGCTAGTATGAGAGGGAGCTAATCTGGACTGTGGAACTAGCCCTTCACTCAATATCCCAGCAAGACGCTGTCACTGAGTACAGCCAAGGTAAGTAAGACAGCCATTCTAAGATGGAGACTGAGATTGCAAGAGACCAGCCTGCGTCACAAAGGGTGTGTGCTTTGGATGCCTAGACAGCTTGCAAAGTCACATGAAAAGTTAATGAAGAATATCACACGTACTTATAATAATGAAATAGCTCCCTTAAACCCAGTCTGGAACAAGTTACAGTTTACCAACCAGAGAGGTCAACAGAGATGTCCCAAGTCCACATATGATTGTCACTGGGAGAGGTCACAGGCGGCCAGGAATGTGAAAGTAAAGGTTAAACCAGACAAAAATATGTAGCTAACAGTAAAAGGGGACTTCAAAAAGTTCATAAAAATGGAATTAAAATATGAAAATTACAAATACAAACTTGATTTCCCAACATAAGTTCCATCATGCTCGATACACTTTTTTAAGCAATGACACCAGCCATGTAGTCCATCCCTAAAGAAATGAGGGTCCTGGAAACGTAATCATGTCAATGCCATCTTTTTTTGCATTATTAACTGAAGAAAAATCAGTGCCCTTTAAATATTTAAGATTAGAAAACAAAGAGAAGTCAAAAGGTGCCAAATCAGGACTGTAAAGTGGATGCCTAATGATTTCTCACCAAACCTCTCTTGAAATTGCCCTTGTCTGAAGAGAAGAATGAGCGGGAGCATTGTCCTGGTGGAGGACTCTCTGGTGAAGCTCTCCCAGGTTCTTTTTTGGGGGTGGCGTGGGGTAGGGGATGTTTTTCTTCTAATGCTTTGGCTTTCTCATAATAAATGCTCTCATAATAAGCAGTTGTTATTGTTCTTTGGCTTTCCAGAAAGTCAACACGCAAGATGCCTTGAGCATTCCAAAAGACCACTGCCATGACATCTGCTCTTGACTGGTCCACATTTGCTTTGATTGGACCACTTCCACCTCTTGGTTTGATTGTGCTTTGTTTTCAGGATCATACTGAAAAAGCCCTGTTTCACCTCCTGTTACAATTCTTCAAAGAAGTCCTTCAGGGTCTTGATCCCACTTGTTTGAAAGTTCCATTGAAAGCTCTGCTGTTGTCTGCAGCTGACCTGGGCAGAAGGGTTTTGCCACCCATTGAGTGGAAGGAAAGTTTGCTCAAGTTTAATTTTTCAGTCAACATTATGTAAGCTAAACCAGCTTAGATGTCTATGGTGTTGGTTATTGTTAGTTCTGTAAAACACTGGTCCTTTTTAGTTAGGGCACAAACAAAATGAACCTTTTCTTTGCAAATTGATGCGGATGGCTGCTATGGGCTTCGTCTTCAATATCATCTCATCCCTTCTTAAAATGAGCTGTCCATTTGTAAACGCTGATTTCTTTGGGGCATCGTCCCCATGAGCTTCTTGTAAAGCATCAATAATTTCACAATTCTCCTGCCCGAGCTTCTCTACAAATTTGATGTTTGTTTTTGCTTCAATTTTAGCAGAATTTGTGGTGCTTTATAGGGGCTCTTTTCCAACTGATGTCTTATCCTTCTTACTGACTCAAACTAGATCCTGTTCAGATGTTATACCAAGTTAGTATGCGTTTATTTTGGTGCTAAAACAATTTTGAAATCTTTGTATTTTTTTCAATAATATGCATTTTCCATGAACTTTCGGAAGACCTTTTGTATAAGGCAGGACACTTCAGTGCCTAAGTGGATGGCACAGGCGTTCAATGCCACAGGACTGTAGATGGGGAGAGGACAGGAGCTGAAATGTCAGGAAAGGCTTCTGTGGAGCGAGTGGGATTTAAACTGGGCTTAGAGAGCCAATGGGATTTGGATGCTCCTCAGGGTAATCCCATTTAGCAAGGCCACAAGCAATGCCCAGGAAACCCGCAGCAGTTGGTGGGCTTTCTCTTTCAGATGCTGGTGGCTGGCTTCCTGGCCTCTCGCCTGTCCTGGGACTTGAGAGTGGGTCTCTACCCCCTCCATCACGTCTGCTGGTTTCTAAGTGTCTCT